GCCCCCTCGCCCAGGGCCTCCCTCCTCGCGCCCCCCGCCCATCTCCCTCCCCGGCCGGGCCGCCGCCCCCTCCCTCCTCGCCCTCCCTTCAGGCCCTCGGGGCTCGCGCCCCCCCGCCCAGGGCCTCCCCCCTTCCTCCTCGCCCTCCTTCCAGGCGCATGCTCCCCGCCCTTGCAGTCTAGATGCTCTTGGAAGAAGAGGCTGGTGTTTTCCCCGGAGGGTTGTAAAGAGAGCTGGGATCCAGACTGTCTCCTTACACAGCTCGGGTCTCCCATAGTCCTGCTGCATCTACTTAGAAAGGTGACTAGAAATGAATGTGTTAGGCCAGGACAGGGCCATTAGTTTATAGCAGTGGCTCTCAACCTTTCCAGGTTACTGTATCCCTTTCAGGAGGCGGATTTGTCTTGCGTATCTCAAGTTTTACCTCACTTAAAAATTACTTGCTTACAAAATCAGACAGAAATTCAAGTGTCACAGCACACTGTTACTGAAACATTGCTTACTTTCTCCTTTTCCCCATATACTTATAAAATCGATTGGAATATAAATATTGTACTTACATTTCTACATATAGAGCAGTATACACAAGTCTGTGTACTGTAATGTGTACTGACTGTTCAGTGCTTTTTACGTAGCCTGTTGTAAAACTAGGCAAATATCTAGATGAGTTGATTTACCCCTGGAAGACCCCTGTGTACCCCCAGAGGTATGTGTACCCCTGGTTGAGAACCACTGGGTTATGTAACAGCATTGTATTTCCAGTATTCTCCATTCCTTCTGTTTCCTACCTTCTTGTTTGCTTTTTGACCATTGGTGGTGTTGAGCAGAGGTTTCAGTTGAGCTGCCCACCTGGATACCTAGAGCTTTTTCTTGGCTTGTTACATTTAACTTATCAGTAAGATGTACGAGTAGTTCAGACTGGTCCCTCCAGCCTGCATTATCTTGCATTTGTTAATACTGAATTTCATTTGCCGTCATGTTGCCCATTCACCTAGCTTGATTATGTCCCTCTGAAG